TCGTAGTACTAGTAGAGAAGATTTAATTCCAAAGATGCCTTTGTCACCTTTGTCATCATTGATGCCAGGCCTTGGGTATTCCATTCACCTGCGTGAGCACGAGTGAGCCCAACAAGCTGTGCAGGCAGTTTCAGGAAGCCAACCACTGCAGCTGTGTTCAGCACATGCACTTCACAATGCATGATCAGACTGTGGATGCTCCCTGTGCCATGCACCCCTCTGGTGCCAATGCTGAAGGTATGTGTGTGGTGCCCCGGGGTGTGTCGTTGGCCGTCTATGGTGCACCATGTCCTCCGTACAGTAAGATGAGGGCTAAAAGAACGGCCGACGGATCTGTGAGGAACCATGCAAGCTACAATGTCATGTTTTCTGAGACGATACAGTGGCTACAAAAACATGAACCAGCGGTTGCAATCGCTGAGCAAGTGTGCGGCTTCGACAGCCCGGAGTCCGTCAACGTGGCTGAGACGCCCCTGCAGCGGTCCTGACCTTGGCTTTCACAAGTCTGTTCCTGCTGTCAGATGTCAGGCTTGTGAAGCAAAGCGGAGTCACTATCACTATCAGTCACTATACCTATCACTATAGTGACTAATCATTAGTCAGCCGAATCACTACAGCGAGAGTACCTCGAGGTAAACCTCACGGGAAACATTCAAAGCACAAACTAACTAAGTCATGGGACATTTCTAATGTGACGCATCAATCATCCGTGTGCATGCTTTGAAGCTCCATTGTGAGAGTTTGGTGTAGAGCAGTTTAGATTTACTGGATTCATTGTATTTTGGGCCTTTTGGGTCCATGAACTGGGCTGAGGCATCAACTCCTAAGTCCTAAGTTTGACATGGGTGGTCTGTCTTGCTATCTAAACTTGGCTAGGCCTATGCCTATAGGGGGGGTCATCAGTGTGAGTGTGATTAATCCGAGTTGGAAAGAATCAGCAAGAAGCAAACACACTGAACATCAAATGCCTGTTCAGTCATGAGACTCCCCAGGTACATGGACCTTGTGCAAGGATGCAAGTTCGAGAATGGTGGTTACCACCTTCACGTGCAGCCCATGGACATGGCAATCTTCGCCCAGATTTCGAGGCCAAGGACAGCGTGGCAGGGTTGACTTGGGGTTCACCGAAAGATTTCAGCACAGTCCAGAGTCCATAATCATTGCATCCCCACTAGGATGTGACTTTGCAAACGAACACATTGTGGCATACCCCTTTGTCCCCTTCAACTTCAACTTCATTTGGCTTGCAGCTGTGCAACGGGGTCACTGTAGCTCTGTTGCCTTGTTCACTCAGACCTGAAAACCAATTCCCTGTAAGTTGTTAGTGGTTTTCTGTATTTCGAGAGCTTCATGTGGGAATAGAGAATGGTGTAGATTGTGTTGGTTCTGTCCTCGCAGGTTGAAGACTGGTTCCTTGTGGTTTGCTCTGCGCTGTACAGTGGCGTAGAGGCATACTTAGGCATGGTTGACATAGTGGCATAGTAGTGCCACGCTTCGCCTTATGCAAATGATCAACAAGTTGGGTGACAATGAGAAATGGACCCGGCTTCGAAGCTTCAGCCAGCAGTCTTGTGGTCATGTGGTGAACATGGGACATAGGACGTAGTGCAGCACCTCCATGACTCCCATGATTTGTGCCCCCGACCAAGCTGAGGCTTAGGTTGATGTCCATGGACCAGCTCCACCACACTAGGTGCCTAGGTCACTATAGGACTGCGAGACTATCAGCTTCTGCTAATGTGAACTTGGTGGTGTAGCTTAGTGGACACAAATATTTGCGGTAGCTGTCGACACGCATGGTCGTGGGATTTCTCGGTTGGGCTGCCGTGGCTGCCGAGCAAGAGTCAAGGCAAGCAGAATGGCCGATTCTTCGGCCAAGTCAAACTGGGGTGCCAAGTCCTGGTCCAGCCACAGTGGCTGCTGTCGATTCAGAGTCTGTAGTCCACAGGCTCATTGAGCATGGAAATGCGCTGCTTTGCAAGATTGGATCCTTCTTCCAACGACGACTCTGGGATGCTTTGCGGCAAAACTTCTCCAGGGGCAGGGCAGGGCATCGTGAAGAGGACAACCCAGCTGTGTTTCTTCTGAAAGGTGTGCCTTTGCTCAATGTTGCAACTCAACAGCGTGTGCTGCCACTTTCTGGCAGCCAGAAAACGCTGTCTGCGGATGAGAGGCGTGTCGCATCCGCAGCACTACTGATCTCAGGCCATTTGTCCGGCTTCATGTTGCGGACATCAGCGGACGCCGCAAGGCACAACGGCTGGCGAGTTCTGGCATTGCTAAAGAAAAGGAGGTATGACGAGACCCCAACACGCATCTCCTTACGTGAGTCATCAAGCAGCTCAAGCACCCATGTCGTTGGGAAGCCATCTGCAGTCAGTGAGACTGCAAAGGTCTTCCAGACCGAGGTGTGCGCTGCCCTGCTGCTGGCTCATGCACCCTCAAGGCGGAGCTTTCTGATGAGGGTGTCGCTTCCGACATTGACATCAGTGGTAGACACCGCAAGTGCGGAGAACATCAAGGCACTTCAGCAGGAGGCCGAGAACATGATCGCAGGCATGTCGGACCTCCAGCCAGAGCTGACGATCTCTTGTCCTGTGACCGACCGCGCTGCTGCAAACATACGGGCGGAGAAGGACATGAGTTCACAGAGCTCCAGCTCTGTGAATTGCCACTGCATGTGCAAGATTCATAAAGCTTCGCAGGTCCAGTCAGTACAATTTCGGCACACAGATGTTCATGTGTCAGGCATGTTGCATTGTGCACTGGCACAACGGGGGGGCGGCCACAGGAAGGCACTCAGGAAACTGCTGATGGACATAATCGAGGAGAGACTTTCCATTCGCCTCGGCGACCCACCCGACTCATTTGCTTGTCATCGCGAAGCCGTTTTGGACCTGTTCTTGTCTGGGAATTTCAACCAGCACGGCAAGCTTCCTGAGAAGCGAGTACGCATTCAGAGAGCCATCCTCACGTACTTTTTTCGAGGAGACCTGCAGAATGAGCAGGAGATCGAATTCTGGTCGCCAAGGCCAATTCGAAGGGAGGAGGCCTTGTCATTGTACAGACGCTTTGCAGTGCCAATGCTTGTGCCGTCGGTTTGCCCGGTATTTCCGAGATCACGCTGGGTCGGCGGTGAGCTGAGCATCAATTGGTGTGGCATCCTGGCCAGTTTCCACAATCTTTTGAAGCCTCTTCTGGCACGCTGGGGAGGTCTTTCAGGAGTCCCGACTTCTGGACAGTCGAAGCCCCAATTGTCCTTGCAGGCATATCTACCTGGTTGGAATTTGGTTGCGGCCCAAGAGGCCCAGGCTCAGTCAGGGCCAGCTGCTGCTGACGCGGCAGAAGGATGGGCTGATTCAGTTGATTATGATCCTTTACTGGCAGCTGATGCAGAAAGAGATTTGTTGGATCGAGCAACAGGCAACTTGGATTGGGCAAAACTCAACACATCGATGAGGCTTCGCTGCGGACGCTGGGGCCAGCATGAGCATGTAACTGTGAGTTTGGTGGCAATGAAACACTGCATGATGCCATGCTTGTTTTTGACACACAGCCTGCTGCGGCAAGCTGGGCTGCGGTGGGAGAGGTCTCAACAAGCTTTGGTTGCGACTGGGCAGCCACGGGACTACAGGGTGCTTGCAGGCCCAAGGCTCACAAGAGAGACACTGCGTTTGATCTCAAAAAAGCTTCATGAAGCCTTGCCAGCGGTTCCCACACGGGATTGCACACGCAGAACGCGGACTCTTCTTTTCCGGCTTTTGTCCACGGCGGGATGTGCAGTGCAAGCATTGTTTCAGACGGATACCGGCTATCCATTTCGACTGTTCAAACTGGCCATGGACGGCAGTGTTGAAAAGGTCTTCGATGATCCACCATGTCTTTATGATGAGCTCACTGCGAAGCTCCTCCTCAAGTATCCAAGCCCGGCAGAGCTCCAAAGCTTCGAAGCAACAGCTGTGATATTTGCTCTTGCAGAAACGTTGTCATTTGACATAGCCGGTGTCGAAGCACGTCATGCTGCAGCACGACGCATCAATTGCATCCGATCAAATCAGACAAACACTGTCTCCTTTGAGACCTTGACGTCCTTGGTTTGCACTCGCAGCTTAGTCAAGAACAGGAGTGATTGGTTGGAAGCTAGGGGACGAGCTCCACAGCTCGAGAAGAAGCATTCTTTTGCCCGGGACCGAAAGAAGAAGAGGAGTTACAGACGTGGAGGTGGGGCTTGGAGGGCTTTTCAACATCTGCAAAAAGTCGCGTTTGGAAGTCAGAAGTCTGTGAGCGCAGACTACCGCCGGGTGAAGCAAGCAGGTGGACAAGAATGGGCAAACTTGCAAGCTTTGGGCAAGATGGGAACACGTTCCAGCAGGGCTGGTAGTGCTGCGTTTGGCGCCAGGGTCAGGACCGATAGGACTGCTGGCCGTGGTGTGCTTTCTGTCACAGCAGGCATGCCGAGTTCTTTGGCCAAGGAGATTCGAAATGCTGTGGATGATGTCAAGCGTCAAAAGGCACAAGACCAAGTTGTTTGGAGCCAAGAGATCGACAGCCTGGCGGCCCATTCTGCACAGTCATGCCAGCGTCTCGAGGCTCCCCACGCCCGGCCACGACTGGACCCAGGACCCGCTTTGGCCAAGCCTTTAGCTTCATGCATCCTGCCTGTTGGTGGCTCCATGCTTTCTGTGGAGTGTCTGCCCCCAGCTGCCGAAGTTGCCAAGGACTGATGGGCCACATGAGAGCATTCCCCAGCATTGAATAGGTTATTGAAGGGGTTATCTTGCATAGTCACAGTCATTCACGGGAAGACAGCCATAGTTGCCATAGTACTTAGTTACTACTTTGTTTTGTTTGATACTAAGGCCTGTTCGACTTTTTGTCACACCCTGTGGAGGCTAGACTTGCCACACTTCTTGCAGGCTTGTTTGTGGCTTGCCAAGCTGCAGTGCTGCAGGGTTTGTGTGAATTAAACCCATTTCCCGACAAACTTCCACGATTCTTCAATGATTGCTTGTCCGAGGTCGTAGGTTCTAAAAGCCCAGAACTTTGATGTTTGGACATGCACATCATTGTCACCTTAGCCTTAGTAATCGGGGTTTTTAGTAATGATACTATTTGGCTGGGTCTTGGTGTTGGATTGGAGTCATCGGGGTTTGTCCATTTTGGAAGGAACTCTTTGGCAGTGTGACAGACCAGAGTGGCTTGAAGAAGGAACTTTTGGAGCATGCACAAGGCAGAGCTACAATGCGGCTCCATCAAGATGCACCCCATCTGGGCGCAGTGAGGTCGGATGATTTCCAGGAGAAGACCTGCTGCAAATTTGCGGAGTGTCTTTGTGGCGAGAACGTTACAGCTGCCAGGTTTCATGCCAACTTCATCGCTTTGTTTCGTCCCTTCTTACGCACAAGACTGATTGCCAAGTCTGCTGCTGCCAAAGCCAAAGCCAGCTCACAGCCTGCTGGGAAAAAGTCCATGAAACCTGTTCCTCGACAGCTCATGGAGCAGGGCTTCATGGTGATCAAGTTCACGAAGATGCCTCCAGAGAAGTCAACTGTGCGGCCCAGTGCTCGTGTCAACTGGGAGCAAGCGGCTGAAGAGTCTTTGGGTGCTCTTCAGATTGAGGCTACAAGACGCCCCTTCGATGATGCGCCTCCTCATGTGGAGGAAACCATTTGGGCACATGTTGGATTTGCAAACTACCGAGATTGGCATCTCAGCTTGCTCCTTTTGCAGGAAGACAACTCCACAAGTGCTTTCACTGAGTCTGGGGAGCCTTTAACGGTTTTGCAGGTTCCAGAAGCATCTGTGTTTCTGAATGACACCGTGGCTTTCAAGCGCTACTTCGATCTGGCGTCGTCCTGGAAAGCATCCCTGCATGTGATTTATGTGAATGACGAGATGTTGTCAGAGATGGAAATGGTCCCTTGTGTCATCGAGGTTCATCGCTTGGCATCTGTGCCAGAATTGGTGGTGTGGAAGGCTTGTGTGCGTTCCTGAATAAGCTTAGTGATTCAGATTTTTGTTCAAAACAACTGTCTTGGGCTGTACACGTGAGTTTGAAATTGTTTGCAGCTTGTTCCCCATAATTAATGTTGCATAAGTTCCGAATCCAGGCTTCAGTTCCTCATGGACGAGGATGTCAGTATAATATAAGACTGTTTCAGAATGCACTCCAGTCCTCCCAGTCGCCATGATCCAGAAGCTTGATTGTGTAGGTACAGTTCATGAAGAGGCAAATGTAGAGTGCAAGGCCATGACACAGCACATTCCACATTCCCTCGGCAGGGTCGTCAGGAAGAAGACCGGCTGCTGGAGCTGCATCCGCCAAAGAAGAAGAAACGTCACAAGAAACGAACTGGCAAGAAGCTGCCATCTGAGCGGCCTGCCAAGAAGTCCAGGCTTTCCATTTGGGGACCTGAACCCATGGCTAGTGATGTGGCAGCCCCGCTCCGAGAGCCCGATGATGTGGCAGGTGGTTCTGGCTCTGATGGGCCTTCTGGGGATGACTCTGAGTCAAGTGGGGCAGAGGCTGATGGAAATTCAGACGATGAAGCGCCTGTGGCACCATGGATTCTGCGGCACATTGATGTTGTGGAAACCCTTGAAAGCAAGCAGAAGAAGACTGCGCAACGGGTCGCAGGATTCAAGAAATGGCTTGGCAAGGGCAAACCAGCTGCAATGTCTTCAGCCGCTGGCCCATCAGCTCCATCGGCATCCAGCTTAGGAGCTGCTGGTTCAGCGGATGCTCCTCCACTGGTGCGGGACGCAGGCCTTGACTCTCAAGATCCTGGGGCTCATGACACAGGAGCCACCAGGAAGAAGTCCAAGACGGAACAAGTTTGTGTGATACCAGGCATCGGCGAGATACACTACTATCCTCCGAGCAAGAATTTCGTTGCATTCTGTCGCGCCCCTAATCACTATGAATGCCGAAAGTCGCGCACCGCCAATCCACCGGCGCTCCCTGTCAAACGCAACCGACGCGGGCAGGGACGCCCGATTGGGCTCTTGGCCGAGTGGCTGTATCGAGGCAGAGATTTCTCGAATAAAGAGGAGCATGGTGCTGCGGAGGTCGTTTTGGGCTTCACACATGAGCAGCGGCTGGCAGCCAGGCGGCGGTTTCTTCAGGTGCCCGGTGCATTGGAAATCGTCCAGAACGAGAGAGCTGCCGCCGCTGGAGAGTCAGAAGAGCCACATGAGATGGTGTGAGGAAAAAAGACGGCTTCATGTTGTCTCAGTGCTTGACAGCATCCACTTCGCCACTTCGCGGGATCTCGGGCTGTGGATGCTAGGCTAGGCGGCTAGGCCCCCACTAGGCCCAGGTCTGGGTCTAAGCCCTAGGTCCTAGGTAGATCGGAAACACTTGACACCAGTACTTCCCAACCCATGGAAGAAGTCGTTGCTTTGCATCCCGGCCTGCGAAAGCAGCATTTTGCACCCAGAACATCAGTGCTTGCATGGATTCCTTAGCCGTAGCCGCCAAAGCCACTTGACTTGGCAGGATTTACATGATCTTCTTGCGCCGGGACATCTACGATGCTTGTGATGCGCAGATGCTGAAGACAATCCTCGGAGTAGACCGGATGCACAGAATCGTGTATGTGTGTGCTGTTTCTGATTGGTGCAGTTCTCAGTTTCAGAGGTTTCCATGAGCCGAGTTTTACTGTTGTCAGCCCAGCTTTGAACAATCTCCATGTCATTTTGCTTCCGGGTTCTGCCAATTGTGATACCAAACCATCGGCCTGAATCAAGAATCAAGACAGGAGATACTGGAGAAGCAGAGTGCTTCCACGCCTGTCAAAGTGGCCGATCTGCTGATGCCCCGAGACCATCCACAGTATGCAGCGAGCATTGACTCCTTGGGGAAGGAATGCGGCACTGCGCGGCCGAAGGCGGGCCTCGGTTACGGATGAGCTGGCGGTTCACATTTTTTTCACATTTTGTTTCACATTTTTGGTCCGACTGTTTTGGGAGTCAGATTTTTTTCGCATTTTTTCACATTTTTTCACATTTTTTCACATTTTTTCACAATTTTTTCACAATTTTTTCACAATTTTTTCACAATTTTCCTAGGGAAAATGCAATTTTTGGCCTCCCAGGGCCAGCTCCCAGACCCAGGCTCCAGGGCCCCCCAGACCCAGGCGCCAGGGCCCAGAACCAGGCTCCAGGGACCCCCAGACCCAGGCCCCAAGGCCCAGAAGAGGCGCCCCCAAACAAGGCCCAGGCCCAGCCGCAGCACCAGCCCCAATTCCAGCCCCCACAGGCTTAGGCCTCCACAGGACACGAGGCATCGGATCCAAACCAGCATTTCTTTTGTATGTGTGTGTGTGTGTGGGGGTTCGTTCCATGTTCGTCCAGCTGCGTGGTGATGGCATGTACTTTGACGGCTAGCTGCTAGCTGGTATTGTGTCCCACTGCCCATGCTGCATTGTTGTGCACATGTCAACACATGAACAGGACTTGAGTGCCGAGCTCTGGTGTGCATGATGTCGGTTAGCTACTGTTACTTCTTCGCCATACCATATTGCTTATTGGCTTATTAGTGTTATAAGACTTTACTTCAGTGTAGTAGTATGTAAACATAGACATTTGATTGACAAAATCCTGCATGACCTTATATACTTAAACTATGGTAACTATGGCAACTATGGACTATGGGATTTATGATACTATACTATGCAGAATTTTGTCCATCAACAGTAGTAACATAGTCGTCATCAGCTGCTTCGAAATAGTCTGAATGAAAAAATACATGATAGTTGCCTTAAACTCAGAATATCTGTGCCCATGTGGCAAGACAATCATTATTCAATCATTGTTCAGAACATTAGTTGTTCTACATGATACTAACCATTACTTACTACAAACAACCATCAACTCCCTTGTGGCCAGGCCGGTGAAGCTTCTTCTGAGCTGGCCTCCTGGAAGGTGCAAACTGTGCGCTGGTCCGAGAATTTGGGAGTTGATGTGGAGAAGAACCCGGTGTGGACAGAGCGTGCAAGTTTCAAGGGCTTGGGCTTGCCAAAGAGCGACAGGGTCAGGAATTTGCTGAACCTTGTGTGCTTGCAGAAATGGCACGACTCCAAGGTCAATGGGCCCCTGAACGGGGCGTTCGCTTCAGTATGTTGGGAACGACTGATGCAAGGAACCTACTTGAATTGGAGTCAAAATCCGGATAGAAGGCATTTCACAAAGAACGACGGCAACCTCAACTGCTTGTGTGCATCGAGCCAGATCTACAGCTATGACCTCGACCGGGCACTTTTCCCGGTGGAGTATTTGCGACTGCAGGGATGGGGCTTCGAGGTGGAGGTTCCATCGGCTTGCAAGAAGAAAATCCGCAGCATGGCAGCCGATGGCTTTGCCTTGCCGTGTCTCGGAGCCATCATATGGGCGGTCTACCTGCTCCGCGGCCTGCCATCAGGGCAGGAGTGAGTAGGTGCTAGGCTAGGACGCTGGGATGTGCCGAATGCAAGGGTGCCATGTCTGCTAACTGCTAACTACAAGCAAATTGGCAAAGAGGTGTTGACACTCCTGGGCAGGGTGGTGTGTTTGTTCCTTTTGTATGTGTCGACCCTGCACAATTGTAGAGTCCTGGCTGTGTCTGCATTGTTGCATTGCTATGCTGCTATGCCACATGATCATGTAGCAGTTGTCACTAAGTTACTAAGTTGCTAAGTTTTTGACATAAGTGATTCTTGTCTGGCACTGTAGCACTGTGGCAGTAGCAGCAGTAGGAGCAGCAGGAGCAGCAGGAGTTTCTGAATCATATCTCATGTGTTTTGCTTTGTCATGATGTCTGTTCCTAGGGCTAGGATTAGGACGAGTGTGGGGCTCAGGCCGGCAAGACTTCAAGCGCTTAGCAGACTTAGCAGCTACTTAGCACTCTTGGCAGCTTCTGACAACGCCTTGACGAGTTTGTGTGTGAGCAGCAAGCTCCTGGCTGTGGCTTTTTCTGAGGTAAGTAAGTAAATTAGTTAAATGAAATGTGTATGTGTATGTTTTTGAGATATCTGTGTGGGGGTGATTTTGATTCAGTGACATTCGGTGGCCCGGTGGCTACTACTGACGGCCACTGGCACTGGCCAAGTGACTAGTGACTAGTGACTAGTGACTCATGAGAGTAGTGACCATGCTAATTGGTCGGTGTCGTTTCCAGGAGAGTTGGCAGTTGGCAGTGCTGCCAGGGGCCTGTGCTGCTTTCGTACGATACAGCACAGCACTTTCATGTGTGTGTGTGTGCATGTACATGCCACTGCCGCCGACTTTCATGCAGTAGGTCTGGTGGTCTGGTCAAAGTGAGATTATGTCTAGAGTCTAGAGTCTATGATTTAAAGCTCGCAGCTTGAGTCAGGAACCAGACCCAATGTTATGATTAGACACAGTATAGATAAACATCTCTGTTCTCGATTCCCTCCCGCTAGGCTAGGCCGCTAGGCCCATCATGGAAGCACAATAGAGAATAACTAGAGACCTTTGTCTTTGCAGGAGTCAGAGATTGACCTTGTCTATGGATCAGTCTGGATCCATACTTGCTGCTGGATGTCAGCCATATCATTTTGCAGACTTGAAGGTTCCCCTGTTTTTTTAATCATTTTAATCATTCGATGGAGCCATTGTGGTGGTTGAAGCTAGGCAGGTAGCACCTAGCGGGCTGGCATTCCACAATCAAGAAGCCAATTAAAGAAGGTCCAGGCCCAGGGCTTTTTGCAGGTGTCAGCAGGTGCATACAGTGGAGTTCATAGTCTTCCGGCTGGTTGAACATATTTTGCTGTAGAATCCCTGGTTACAGTGGGTTTGTTGCAGTACTGTAAACTGTAGACTTGACTAGACTAGACGTTGCAACTGAGTTTTCGGCTGGCAAGGCACAGAGGCAGTACATGCTTCAGAGTCTTCAGAGGTCGAGGCCCGGTCTAGGCAGGGCCACACCTTTGTCGTAGCGTCGTAGCTTCGTTTCATTGGTTAAATGATGCGAGTCAGTTTTTTTTCCTGGGCACAGACAGTGGCACCAGCAAGGTAGTCTGGCATTATCCTCCCGATTCTCAGGATTCTCGGCCTTAGGCAGAAAGCTGAAGTAGTAACCAGTAAGCAGTAAGCACAAGGTTGTTGTGAAGGCTTGTTGTCCCAGCTGCATGTTTGCCACAGACATGGTTACATGGTTGAGGCCACGGCCAGGGGTCAGGGTGTCACGATCATGTCGGTGGGAGGTGTCGGTTTATGATTAATGGTCCATGGCTACGGTTATGTGGACCCGAGGTTTCGACTATGAGTATCTCTTTGCAAAGCTGTGTACAGCAAGCGTTACACTGGCTGTGATTACAACTCGAAGTCAGCCTTGTAGTAAGTTGCAGTAATTGTATCGGTGTATCACATTGTATGATTCATCCTCACATGCATTTTTGGTGCTTCATGTAAAATGTAAAGTCAACTACTGCTGCTAGAGACGGCTAGTGACTAGTGACTAGTGCAAAGGTAATTATGTAAGACTGTAAGAATGTAAGTGTGTAAGTGCTGTTTTCTGCCAAACACACATATCACATATGCTCTGGCTGTTGTGGCAACAATTCCCATCTTTTCTTGGGGCCTTAGGGCCTCAGGGCATTTGTATTTTCAGTTCACAGCGGCAGGAAACCACAACATGCTTGCAGCTAACTGTCAACTAGCACAAGTTCAGTAGAAAACACATGCTTATTGCTACTCCCGGGTCCTCTCGGCTATCAAATCTTCTAGTGTACTAATATGAAGGCAGACTCAGTGCAGAGGTGCCATGCTGGGGCTGTGTGTGCTAGACTTTGCTAGACGGCAAGCTTGTCAGCTTGTCATGCCAGCTGCCAGAGCAGGACTGACACTCGGTCGATCCTATTCAACCTATTCAGTGCCGTGGGGAGGCCTTTGTATTGTAGAGTGTATTGTGGGTTGCTCGAGTTTAAGGGTGATGTGAAACTTTTATGTGACATAATCCCGGATACCCGGCATATGTGTCAGTGGGTCTCTATGTTTATGTTGTGCAGGAGTGGTTTTTTCAGATGCAATTGGTGAGACTACCAGTTTACCACTGTGTCTCAGAAGGGTCATGGTCAAGTCCATCTGGCAAGCCCATGGCGGAGTCCATGGTGCTGTAGATTTCCGGGCACCTTGACTTTCCGTCATGATTCACAGCCTGGAGTGGCTGGAGTGCAAAGTTCCGGAGCTGAGACTGTGCTTACACTTGCCATTCTTGTCCTGTGCCTGGGTTCTAAGTTGTGGATTCTAGATTCCAGATTCTAGATCCTTTGCCTCGGAAAACTTTGCTTGGTTTCGGCGCCTTGTCATGCTACAACTGAGATGCTGACAGTGCCTGGGAGCGAGAACATTGGGGGGCCTGCTGTTGCCTCTGAGACTCATTACAGTCAAGATCACAACGTGCCAGTTCAGTGCACTTGCTTCTTTGAAGTTTTCGGCTCGTTGCTGGCAGGAAACCTTGACTCCTGTGACACTTGTGCCGGTGCAGGGATCATGGCGGCCGCCAGTGCCCGGACCCCATCTGATACTGAGTAACGTAACCGTCGCCATAACCAACATGTGTACAAGTGTAGACTCAGTGTAGACCATGTCCATATCGAAAATTCCCCAGCATGTCTGCTCTGCTTCAGACTGTGTACACTGTTGCTCAGTCTAAGTGCCAATGTGCCCTTTGTTTGTATGGTAGTGATTATTGGAGTGCACTCTGGAGGCCAAGCGCCCGCGACCCGTCACCGTGGCCAGCCTCACCTGTGTGATCTGCAAGAAGAATCCGCGTGAGCCATCGTGCATTTCATGCCTGCTTTGTCTGATATAGTAGTATAGCCTAGGCCTAGATGTGTAGCAGTGTAGTGAGTAGCTGCAATTAACATCAGATGCATGTGAAATCCTGCTGTGACTCTGTATTGTTGTACCGAAGTGTTCGTGTCAACTTAATTTTCGGTTTGATTGGGTCCAAGGCCCAGGCTCAGGCATATGAGGCTGTGTTGATACAGTTATCATTGGAACATTGCACATGATACATGATGAGATGCATGTGATGTCACGAGCATGTGGTAGGTACCAGGTATACGAGTGCGGGTAGCAGCGGTTCGTTCAAGTTGAAAGAGAACGAAGCATGTGCTATCTGTTTCACAATCCCGATCAACAGCTTGCAGGCATAAGGCGCGAGACAGAAGATGAGAAATGCGAGTTCATCATTGAAACGAAGAACAACCCTTGAGACAATGTGGAGTTCACATGATGTATTGAATGTAGTGAATGTAGTGTTGTAGTGCAGATGTTGGCAGGAGCGGGAGTGGGCCAACTTCACCGCCAGGGGTCAGCCCACAGGGCTTTGGTGCATGGTTCATGCGAAGGGGGCCATACAGATGTTTCCTGCTCACCCTCTCGAGGAAGTCGGGGCTTTGTACCACGAGGATTCTGAGCGCGGTCGCCGCGTGAAGAAGATCATGGATGAGGCTGTTGAAAACATGTTGCAGGATCCGGCCCCAGTGTTTGCACTCCCGGCCACATTGTCCTCTGTTGCACAGCAAGGCATTCGCATGATCTTCGAACTGGCATTTCTGTCAGAAGCGGATGTAACTCGTTTGACCGGCCGGTCACCGAAGTTCTTGAACTTGCAAGTGGTGCATTTGCAAAGCGAACAGCATGGCAATGCTTTGCTGAGTGGTTTCCTCCTCAACATGAGGGGGCTTCCCATCGATGAGATTTTCTCCGTCAGACGGGTGCAGGTATACAGGGACACGAGCTTGCAGCTGAGCGAGGACAACTTGCAGCCGGATAAGATGATACACGAAACTCAGCCGGCGGTGTTGCTCGACTACTTGTCAAGCAAGCAGCAGGCCACATACCCGAAGGAATTCATCGGAAGCAATGTTCGCCACGTGCCGCCGACTCTCGCGCAGCTCGTCGAGCGTGGCAATGAACGTGAGGCTGCTGGAGTGCAAATCATGAGTGTTTGTTAGAAGCCAGATTCTGAGCAGTGAGCACCGGGTGGAAGTATCATAAGCCTCAGCCTCAACAGATCTCAACAAACACATGAACTGTTAGTGCATAGCATTCCAAGATGCGGGCAGGAGTGAGGAGCTCGGCTTTCGCTGTGCATAAACGTATGCTCAATAAACTACCCAGTGTCGTCATGTCTGGAACTCTTGTGAGCTTCTGACAAGCTTCTGCTCCCGGGCTACCTTAGTTGCCTTAATTCTTGTCATGGAAAACCATGGATTGGGCCTTGGGTGGCTTGGGTGTCTCCAATGTTGCAACTTATGTGGCAGTGCAGGTGTCTCTGTTTTTCTCGATGTTCCATGCAGAAGTCCGGCATAGATCATGTGAGGCATAAGTTGTCCATGCTTATGTCAAAATAACTGCCACCTGTTACAGGTGGCGGCTGCAGTGTCAGCACGCGAGGAGGAGGCCGTGAAGGAAGAGGTGGTTGAGATGGATGAGGACGACCTCCAGGATGTGATCCCGCAGTCAACTCGTGCCCGTGGCTCCACTGTTCCTGCAAGCTCCGTCCCAGTGTCTGTAGCCTTGAGCTCGGTGGAGGGAAAGGAGAAGAAGACGGTGAGGAAACGCGGAAAATCACCGGCGCCCAAATCGGCTTTGTTGCCTTCGGCGACTTTGCCGAGTGAAGTGACACCGAACAGCCCACGCAATTCGATGGCATCGAAAAGGTCGAGGACCAGTGGTGCGTCGAAGAAAGAGTCCTTGAAGAATGGCCAGGGCGGCCAGTCGGCCGGCGTGGAGGATTCGGAGGAGGTTGGGCCACTGGATTCAGAAATGGCCAAGGTCCAAGAGAAGTTGGGGGGGGGCACCCCAAGTGTGCCTCCGGGCCCTTGATGTCGGCCGTTTCCTCCAAGGCGAGAAACTGGGAGTCCGAGTGGTGGCGGCTTCTAGGCTTGATCTTATCTTTGTTCATGAGTGAATGAGTGAATCTTTCTGCTTTATAGAGTCTATTGATTGACTCTGTTGACTCGACAGGTTAATGATAATGATTCCAGGGCTGGGCCTGCCTGCCTAAAGACCTCAAGCGCTGGAGAAACTGCAATAACTTCATGAAGTCAAAGCTGTCATAGGGCATACGGTTTGGGACTTTGGCTTCGTCCTCGGCCTTGGGGCCTAGGGCCAGGGCTTATGTGGTTAGTTCCACAGTATGTTGATTACAACATCATGTCAGATCATGCTGTCACATTATTTCTGTGTCAGTTGTCTATGGCTGTGTCTATGTCCGTGACGATGTCAATTTTCTATGAATTGTTTGTTGTGTGGACACCCAAGGCGAGGAAACTCCTGGAGAGGCTGAGTGGTGGTCCCAAGATGTTGCTTGAGAACCGGCTGCAGCTGTGCGATAAAGCGGGAACCATCGCACAGAACTGCAAGTCCCTCAAGGACGATGCTTTGGGTAGTGCCGTCACATTGCTCACGAAAGCCGGGTATGACATGCCAGCACATGTGAGACTGGAATTGGCAGAGCGTCACGGGAACTTCCTGTGGAAGGAGATCATCACTGTGGCTACCAAGGCTAAGTCGAAAGCCGATGCAGAAACCAAGATCTCGCAGAGTGACGAGATGGCATCCTTGCTCATTTTCTTGGTCCCTGTCCCGGAAAATGCCAGGGAAAAGGATGATGTGATTCGGCCCACCTTTGCCAACCTCCTGGAGGCTTTCCGGGCCAGGCAGAAGCTGCAGATGGATCTGTGCGAGTTGAAAGACGAGGGTGTGCTTCAAGAGCAGCACACAGAGGAGTGGCAGGCGGATTGTGTCATTTCGACGCCTTCAGCTAGCAGCTGGCCAGCTTTGTTGCAGCGCACACGTCGTTTGAATTGTGGAATTGAAAACACTCTTTTTGCTAGTGACTGGAAAGTGTGTTTACCAGTTACTGGCAGTAACTGGCAAACACACTTTCCAGTCAGTTACTGGTGATGACTAGTGACTAGTGAACTAGTAACTGGTGACTAGCGGGAGGCCTTTGCAGATGCTATGAGCTCGGCTTTCTTCGCAGACCCGTTCGTGGACATTCTGTCCACAGGTGCTGAGACAGCACACATGGTGAAATTTGTGTGCACTGAGCTGCTGGATGCCTTCAAGGTGATGGACTCAGAGGAAATTATCGACCGGCAAGAGTTGCCAGATGTCGTCGCGGCAGCTGTTACTCGGATCCGCAAGCTCGTTGCCGCATTCGTGTCCTTGCTCGACCCCACTGACTCTTGCCAACAGGCCAGCATCGAAGACGTGGAGGCTGTGAAATCCACGGCGAGTTCACACCACATGGATGTCACGGTGAAGGCTCTGCTGAGTGGAACGGGCTTCTATGCAGCAAAGGCTGAGGAGCAGCAGAAAAAGGCCGGCTCCGCGGCAGCGGCAAAGCCCTTGTATGAGGAGCTGCTCGACTTTGTGATCGATGGCGTTGACGGTTTGGGTGCTGATGGTGATGCTCAACCCCTTGACCTGGTGAAGCTGCGCAGGGTCATCACGAAGCTCCCTGAGCTGCGATCAAAGATGCGGGAAAACGGCACGATCCCCTTGGAGGATAAGCTGTACAAGCTGCTGATGGCAGAGAGCGACAAGTTGATTCGGAACACTGGCAGCGCTCAGGCAACTCATGGTTTGCTTCGGAGCGGATTGGAGCTGCTTGCTGCAAGGAAGAGCGTCCCCGAGATGCTCTTCAAATTGGAGAAGCACCAGAATGAGACGAAGACCAGCTCGGGTGTCCAAGGCTTCGCCATGGCTGTTGAGGACTGCATCTTGAACTTCGACCAGATGACTGATGAGAATCTCAGGAGCCTACCACTCCAGGAGGTGCACTCGGCATTGGAGAATATGGGCGGCATGCCGGCCACGGTTGATGACACAGTAATCTTGGCTTGTACTCAGTCATTATTTTCTTCAATAGCATTCCATCGCAGCCCTGGTGAATCTGTCTTTCGATTATTTGTGTTGTGGGCCTTGGGTTCAGATGAAGATCATGGTGACCTGCTGAGTTGTGTATTCCTATGTTGAACTTGAGACACTTGTGAGCTCTGTTGTGCAATGCAGTTTTCCCGGCACTCGCCAGCAAGTTTATGCCAATCGTTCCATCAGTATCTGTGCGTGTGGCATGTGCTTGCCTCTGGTCACTAGTCACTAGTCCTAGTGCTTCGTAATCCCCATGACCCCAATGATCTTGTGACAACACTGTGATCCTGGCTGCTGATAGCAGCTGCTGATGTGTCCCAGGTGAAGCACTCTTGCTCACAAGCATTCCCTTGCGTGCTGCAGCACTTGAAGCTGAAGGCATGTCGACCTTGCAGTTGTGCTGTTGTGAGATAAAATGCACATGCTCATTATCAGCCGGTTGTCCATGGCCTGTGACCAGGTGGCGGGAGGCACGGACGTCACAAAAGCGGAGTTTCATGCTCTGAACGTGATCCGCGAGCAGAGCGACCTCAGCTCGGAGTGGTGGGGGATGCAATGCAAGTTGCTCCGTGATTCTGTTCTCTTCAGATCGGCTGAGCAGAATTTCAGGAGCCTCGGCATCACTCCGGCAGTGCGCATGCAGCGAGATGTGAAGTGCACACGCCTTGAGATGATGTACAAGACTGCCCTGGCACTGAAGTCCAACTTGACCAGAAGCCTCGACTTGCAGACAAGGGTTGGCAACGACCGGACTCAGGAGCTGATGAACAAGTGTGCTCTCAACGACGTTGCCGTGACCGTCTTGGGTGATCTTCGATTGCTGGAGTCGGCTTTGACCACTCTCCTCCAGGCCGAGATGACGGCGATCAGGGACATCTTGGCACAGCTGGAGTCCCACACAATGGGGCTTCACATGCCGAAGACAACCTGGAAGACGTTCTCTGACCCGATGGACGGTGACGAGGTAATGACAAAAGCCAGTGCATCCATTGCGACTCTGAAGGGCAGCCTCATCACCTCTGACCACAAGTCGCTCAAGGAGGCTTGGCAACTAGAATGGGGTGGTGGTGGTGGTGGTGGGGATTTTGTTCTGCTGATGCGCACTGCTTGCTTGCAATCGTTCAATAATTGTCATGTTACCGTCTTTGCGCAGGCTGTTCTGAAGTTGCAGAATGCGGTGGGCAAGTTTGATGGGTTGAAGCAGAGTAATGGAGCGATGGCAGAGAGCCTGGCGGCTGCCACCACGTGTGTGGCCGATGCCAAAGAGCACCTGGAGCTGGTCAAGGTCTTGATGGCGGAATCTGTCATGCACCTTGAGCTGCTCTCGAAGAACAAAGACCTTGTCAATTCCCAGATCACAAAGGTCACAGGGAATGAGGTGGATGCACAGCAGATTTGCCCCAAGCTTCTTGAGATGGCGAGGGCCTTTGCTGGTGTGTGAATCAGACATTAAAGCATCAGCAGCTGGCGCCATTGTTTTTCCGTGCTCTGTGCAGCCATGAGGGGCCATGCGGGGAGGTCGGAGCCCTTATGTGGTGAGTTGCCCAGCTTTACTCTTTGCCCCAGCCGGAGCCCTAGGCCCTAGCCCTAGTCCTAGCCCTAGCCCTAAAGCCGTAGCCGCAGCCAGATTAGTTGAGCCTCTCCCCATGCCATCGGCAATCAGAGCTTTTTGCGATTCGCTTGATGCTCCTGGCATCACTGCTTCAGTGTTTAATAAAAATGATGATCCATGATATGTAGTATCCTGGGCATGTCCTAGAATCTATCATAGAAGCAGTGCGTGGCCGGGCCGAACAATCCCTTTGATTCTGCCAATGGCAAATCACTCATCGCCTGTGGCACACACGTGCTCATGAAGTTCAAAAATCCTCATCTCGTGTCAGAGCAGCAATACCTACTACTAGTAACGACGACAACAACAACAACTACTACTACTACTACTACTGCACTGGTATTGATCATGGCTGGTGGCTAGTGCTACTGCAAGTGCCACTGCTGCTGCTGGTGCTACTGCTGCTGCTACTGCTACTGCTTACTGCTCCTGCTCCTGCCCCTGCTCCTGCTGCTCCTG